TTGTTAATGCTGACATATTGGTTCTATGGCAGATTTTAATTTTTTTTTTTTTTTGTTCTCCTAAACAAAACAATCACTCCTTTCTAAATCAACAGGACAAGGGAGGTAGGTGTGTGTGTGTGTGTGTGTGTGTGTGTGTGTGTGTGTGTGTTTTGAAATATATCTTTACAGACACGAGACTCACTTTATACAAGATAAATGGCCCACAAGTACCCGTGCATTGAATCTCAGTAAAATCAATCATACTTTAATTGCACAAAGGCAGTGCTTTAAAGGAATATGGGGTGGCAGTGATGGGCTAGCTACTGTTTCGTGGTGCTCTGTCTCCACCCACAATCAGAAGGCTGTGCCCTTGACTCACTTGAGGGACCAACCCTTCCTGATCCCATTTTACAGGTGACTCCACACACTCAGAGCTCCCTGAGTGTCCTAGCTGGTGAGTTCCTCTGCCAAATTGTAACTACTCTGTCTGACCCAGCTTCCACGCCCTCTACCACAGCGCAACCACCTTGGGAGGTATTAATAACACCAGTGATCTCTAAGCAACAAGGAGTTTCGTATTTATTATTATTTGGCACCTGCCTCAAAGAAACAACAAAGGGGTCAGTGAGACAGCACACCGAGTAAAGAGACGTGTCACCAAACCTGAGTTCTGTCCCTGGGACCCCCACGGAGAGAACTGACCTTCACATTCCTGCCATGGCATGCCCCACCCCATATCGATAGGTTAAAATGTAATTTAAACATCTAAATAGAATTAGATGGATATAGTCAAACCCATTTTATAGTCAGGTAGCCATAGGTTCATTGATGTAAGAAGACTTTAGTCCTGTGTGATGTCCACAGCAGCAAGTGTTTGACCCAGGTCTGGGCCCCCGTTCTCCTTGTCTACTGTGACTGATAGAAAGGATTGGATGGGATCAGCTCCCCTTCCTTGCAGTTGCTGTTTTTCTTCCGCTTAACATCTCTCCCCTTCTCTGTTTTCCCTACGTAGATGCCAACTCATCGGAGGCTGCTGCTCCGATCCGCGTAAAACATCCTTTTGTCTCTCCTCACCCAGCTTGTCCCTGTGTCACACAGCACTACCTGGCCTGGATTTTTGTTTGTTTGTTTCTGTTTTTTGTTTTTTAACTGCTTTTGCAGTTCAATCATAAGTTCCATGAGGACACTGTCACCCACCTCCTGGCTTTATGGATGGGTACCCATGAAACAGCCTCATGTAGGAAGGATGTGTCAGTCATGGCAATGTCAGTTCTGTCCCTGGAGTTCTTTTGGCTCTGGGATGAGCTCCAGGGTAAATGTTGCTTCTAGGCCCATATGTACTCACCCTCTTTTTAGCTGGCATGGCCATTTTTGACACTCTATCCCCCAGCTTTTCCATTGATGCTTTCTAAATGTATCAGGGTAGGTGATGTCACCGTAATGCACAGGAGTAGCCCTGTGGTTTATGCACATTTGAGTTGCTTTGAATGCAAACCGGACATCATACTGAACGAAGGCAGCAGTGAACAACATACGCACAGTAAACAGGCAGAGACTGTCTTATTGATTAACAGATGAGGCCTCTATTATCGATCAAAGCTTGGCGAGGAAATTTATCACTTTTAATTTCAGGGCTGCCAAATATTTCTGCCTCTGAGCCAGCCATTACAGAGACAATTTAATGTACAGCCTTCTTAGAAGAGGGGATTTCATCTGGTGGACTGGTCTTAGATCCTCACTCTGGAGAGTCTGGGGTGCCAGTATTTCTGGGGGAGGTGTGGAAGGAATAGTAGGGCTTCATGAATGGGAGCCAGCAGTGGGAGCCCTCATCTGTGGTTCCAAGTAGAACAGGGAGTCTGACCCAGAGTCCCTTGGGGAGAGGGACTTTTCACACATTTAATATGGTATTGTGAGCTTCAAAGGGATGTGGCTTAATATGGTGACTTTGGCAAGTGCGGAGTGAGGGGGACACTGAAGGCTACCAGATGTGGTTAGGTAGAGAAGGAGGAAGCAGTCTTTTAGTAGCCAGTGTATGCTGGTCTGTTGTTTATCTTCATCTGAACCCTGGGTGGTGGCGCACATTTGCCCTTCATTTCCTCCCTCGCTCCTTCCTTTCTTTGCTCATCTGCCATGAAAGTGAGATGCTTCCTACAGCCCCATTGATGGCTGTTTCTAAAAACCTCTCCACGCCACATCCCTTTGAAGCTCACAGCACTATTGGGTTCCTAACTCGATTACGACTGCAGGGCTCCAAAGCAATGGCTGAGCCCATGAGGTGCCCGCCCCTCCCAGCCGTCTTCAGGGAGCTATGAGAACAGATACAACCAAAGAGAATCAGATCCCTCGCAAATCCACCGAAAATCATTGATGGTTAATGATTCAGGCCAAGGGGAAGTTGCTCATTGTGAGGGAGCTGGGACTCCATCCAGCCCCAGCTTCCCCACCCTGACCCTTTCTGCCTTTTGAAGCATTTCCTGTGTGCTCCCTCCCCTAGAACATAGATGAAAGTGGTCTTAGCTGTCACCTCGGAACACACAGACACCGCTTTGCCATTATCCCCATAGAAGTTTTTTTTGGCTTCATTTTCAAAGCTTTATAAGCCATGGGCCAGGTGCTTGGCCTGAGGAGATCCTGTGGCTCTCTGAGATACCCGGAGGTTGTCTGTCGTCCTCCTTCTGCCTCCAGGTAAAACTCAGTCCCAGTCACCTGAGGCAGATGCCTATAATTAATTTGAAGTCTCTTCAGCAATTTTATATCTGCCCTGGAGTGCTTTCCCTCCCATTTATTCAGACAACTCTTGTGCCAAACACAGACTAGGGCACATACAGCCTGTTTGTTACTGGGAGTACAGGTGCCCAGTGAGGCTGGGGTTGTTGGTGCTCTACAGTCCTCGTACCTGTCATTGACAAGAACTGTTCCTTGCTGCTTAAGCCTCTGTATTTTGATTCTTATTTTTTAAGGCACAGATTTCCAGACTTATCATTTGTAGCCCCAGGCTGACCTGGAACTCACCATGTAGCCCAGGCTGGTCTTGAGCTTATGATGCTTCTGCTTCATTTTCCTGAGTGCTGGCTTTACAAATGGACACACACAGTCATGTCCATCCTCAATTAAAAAAAAAAAAAAGTACTGGAACCATTTTTCCAAATACAATTTGACATGAAACCCTGATACATAAAATGGGTAACTGGATTTGATTTTGTTGTTGGAAGGGAGTGAGGCGCTTGCTTCTTTATCCATATGGCTTCTTTGCAGATGGAAGCCCTAGGAAGCTGAAGATAAGGAGGATTAAGAGTTCTGAAGTCAGGCTGCTGAGCTGTACATCTGTGGCTGCCCTCTGTTCTGTGTTAGAGCTAGCACATCCTTAACCTCTCTGAGCTTGTGGGTATTCATCTGCTAAGTAGAGGGTGGTAGTGGTGCAGACTCCAGATGTTACTGTTAGGACGTGATGAAGTAATGCGCATTCAGTATTTAGCATCGTGCCTGGTATGCAGTGAATCTGTGGGAAATCCTAGGTGGATTGAAAATAGCTGTAGGGGCTACAAATGTGCAAATCAGTTACCTGGCTCTTACAAGGTATCGCTAAGACTCTTGGACACACATAAAGGAAGAGCTTGGACACATTGAGAAGTACAGAGCAGATCAGAAGGGGCAGAGCAGTGGCAGCTGGAGGGCATAACCTTGGTACATGGTCTTGAACATGAAAAATATGGAATAAACAAGAGTGAGACCAGGACAGAAACACAAGGGGAGTTGGCACTGCCTAAAGAAGGTGCTAAGGGACAGTCTGGCTATGGAGTTGTTTAGCTTGCTTGGTCAGGTTACCAAAGACCCTGAGGTAAAAAGAAGGAATTGAGAACTAGTATAAACTGCAGATCTCTTACATAAAGAAGTATGAGGAAATATATAGTCTAAAAGGGAGGATCAGACAATATAAACCCAGCCTTGAATCTTCCAGTGTTTCAGGACTCATACTGCAAAGGTCAGGACAGGTAAGGATTATCCCCACACAGTGGGACCATGCATGCATGAAGACATTCTGAAGAAGAAGCACTAAGACTTGAGATTGGTGACCCTTAGATAAGATGCAGAGAACGACTGAGCCTGTGGAGTGATGTGTCCCACCGACACGGTGACACTTTGGGGTTGAGCTTTGTAAGGATGGCTCTTGCTGGCTCTTAGAATATTGATGGAGTTGAGGTTGTCATAGGCGCCCACCATGATCAAGGCAGATATAGCTGTACACAAGATGATAATGGTTTCTCAGAGAGTCAGGCTCACAGGGTGTTGTGGCAACAGAAAGATGAGTCACCGTGCCCAGTTGTGAAGGCACAGGTATCACAGGAGAGGTCTCAGGGATGACTGGGGATTGAGGGCATGAGGGATGCAGAGAGGCAGGGGAGGTGTGGAAGAATGGGCAATAATGAGGAGGAAGGCAGCCCCTTCAGGGACTCACTGAAGCCCACCCTGGCTAGAGGAGAGTTAGGTGGAAAACGAAGCATGAAAGAGTATGCCAACAAGAGCTGGTTGCATCCTAGAAGGAATTTTGAGATAATCTTCAAAGTACTGCAAATTTTTGCAGGATGTTAGGTGGCCAGATCCAAGGGGTAGTTTAGAGGTCACCAGTGAGTTAAATTTGCACACGCTGAGGGTGTGTATCTATAAGTAGTGCATGCTTCTTCATGAATCATGAGGCAGCGACGGTGCATGTCCCTCCTTGTTGGTATCTGCTTTGCTCCTTCCTGTCTACCCATCCAGCAGAGCTGGCCTTTCATTTTCATGGGGCATCTTACCTAGACTCTGTCTTAGTCATGCTGTTTTCATTTCTTCTCCTCGGGGAGACCTGGATGGGTAGTCACCTGTTCAGGTCTGGGCTAGCTCCTGGAGCTGTGGAGTCAGAATCTCTGAGTTATCTCTGAGTCAGACTCTTCACAGGTATCCTGGCTGCTCCTCTAGTACCCAGGACACCTCCCACTCTCTGGACTATGGTTCTAATGTTAACTGTCTCTTTTTTTCAGCGGGCGCCAAAGCCTTTGTGTGTGATCAGTGTGGTGCCCAGTTCTCAAAGGAAGATGCCCTGGAGACACACAGACAGACCCATACTGGTGAGTGTCCCTGATTCCATTCCCCAGATTATCTAGCAATATAGTACGAAAGAGGTCAGGGGATTTGGTGACATCTTCTTCCTGGGAAATACATCATCATGCCCGGGGTCTTTGTGGAAGGGAATGGATGTGTGTAAATTTCTGTCCATGGGGCCGGGCAAGCATTACAGACAGGACAGTTCCCCCATGAGAACAGCCCTTCTGAGTTAGGCCAAGATTCTGTCTGTGACAAGCCATTGAGCTTCCATCTTCTCAAGGGATCTTGTGTGCTCTTGCTAGGGCTGTAAGGAGTCTATGGTGTTGCCTGAATTCTTGTAGCTAATGGTCGGAAACCTCTTCACAACACCCTCTAGTGAGATTCAGAAGCCCTGGTTTAGGCACAGTGGCTGATTCTCCCTCTGTAAGAGGTTGAGTCATCATCTCTGACACATCCATCTACACACAGGGCTGTACTGGAACAGTATTAACTGACAGAGATACAGCTCTGTCCTGTTCAATAGTGCTGATTGCACTGCAACAGCACCAGCATCATTTCGTCACGATGATTGGCAGCCCCATTGCCATGATGACCAAAGTTTACACTGGTTGGTTGCTTTCCATGACCTCTCTTGGCTAGCTTTTCGGGAACCCTGTAAAGTAAATGGTGGGGTGGTGGTGGTGGTGCAAATCTCAGATCAAAAATGAAGAAAAGGATTCTTAAAAGTGGGTGGGGGCTTGCCAAAGTCAGGAGCCAGGAGTAAGTTTGATAGTTGAGAGGTTGGAGGGCCCCGGTTTCATCCTGATTGGGGCAGTCCCTAAATGGAACTGTGGATTAATTACATACTTAGCCTTTTTTCATGTGGTTTTCCTAATTGATTAGGAAAGTGAAGCAATGACAATATGGATCCCCACAAACAGCGCATTGTGGGGATTAAACAAAATATTTTACCTGAGGTGCTTTGCTGGGTGTTTGGCTCATTACAAGTATTTAATGGACAGTAGTTGATTGATACGATGTAACAAATATGTATTGTAGTGTGTCCAGGTTGCTGGAGGAATTTGGGATATGGTAGCACATAAGACAGACGATTCTGATTCTCATGGTACTGAGATTGCTTCTGGGACATAGTATGAGCTACAAGCATATGATACAATGAAAAGTTAAAGTGAGTGCTGCCAAGAAAAAAGTAAAGCAGATGAATGGGAGAGAATGAGAGGAAGAAACATGGTATTTTGGATAAAGTGGTTAGGGGAAAAGGTGACTTACATCTGAGCAGAAGCCTGAAGGAGTGAGCCACTCAGATGCTCCTGGGAGGAGCGCCTGGGCAACAGGACTTGAACTTGGAAAGGTCTCAGGGCCAGGTAAAGCCTTGTAAGTTCAGAAGGGCAGCGTGCAGAATGGAGAGCCAAGTGGACAGTGAGCATAGAACGAAGGCAGGTCTCTCAGCCCTAGAATCTGGGCTTTATTCCGTATTTCTGAATGGTGTGTTAGTTCCTTGTCTCATTTTATCACTGTGATAAAGCTCTTGACAAAAGCAGCGTAAGGGCGGAAGTGTTTATTTTGGCTTACTGTTTGAGGTTATAAGTCTGCCATGTCCCTCCTCAGTTAAAACTCAATGGAAACATGCTCAGACAGGCCAAGAAGTGTCTCCCAGGTGATTTCAAATCCAGTCATGTTGACAGGGAAGATTAATTGTCACAAGGAGAGGGGAAGGATTTGCAAATCATGTGTGAAATTTATAGCTAGGAAATATAAAGAGCTCCCTTACAACCTGAAAATACTAATACCAATACTAATACTAATACTAATACTAATACTAATACTAATACTAATACTAATACTAATACTAATACTAATACTAATACTAGTAGCTAAAGAAGAAAGCAAGTAAAGGCAATGTCGCTTAACTCCAAAGATAGACATAACCAAAGAATACATAAAAAGATGCTCCATGCCTTTTGCCATCAAGGAGATGCAGATCAAACCGCAATGAGATACCACTCAGCCCATCAGGATGTGGCTCTCTAAGAAGACAGATAGTGGCAAGCATTGCTGAGGATATGGAAAAACCAAAACCCTCATATGTTAACGATGGGAGGGTAGAGGGAGGCACAGCCGCTTTGGAGAACTGCCTGGAAGCTTTTGAAAGGTTTAAACATAGAATCACCCGATTACACAGCAGTTTTGCTCTTTCCTGTCCACCAAAAGGACGAAAACGTGTGTCCATGCAGAAACTTGACTGTGAATATCCGTGTATCAGTCAAGAGGAAGTAACCCAGTGTTAATCAATTAGCAGATAAGCAAAATACTAGATATACATGGTCAATGAATACGGTTTAGTTGTGAAAAGGATTGAAGTAGTGATACATGCTACAGTGTGGCTGAACCTTAAAAGAATTTGTTGAAAGAAACCAGACACAAAAGTCCATGTGTTATGTAGCCTTCATTTGTTCATATGTGAAGTCCAGAATGGGCAAATCTGTACAGACCCGGAGTATATTAGCAGGTGTCAGAGACTGCAAGTGTTGAGAATAAGTAGGGTTTGACTGTTAAAAGATCCAACATTTCTTTTGGCGGAGACAGACATGTTCTAGAGTTGACTGTGGTGATGATTATGCAATACATTAAAGTCCGTTTTAATGTATAGTTTAGAAGTATAGCTATGCTGCATGCCATGTGTTTCATAGCTTTTAAAGTTGGGTGAAGGTGTATGTGTGTGTATAGGTAATCTGTCGCTGTCGGGAAGACTGACATTGCCAGCCACATCATGTATTCTTGTAGATAAATTACAGACATAGGTATGTAAGTGTAGGTGGATGTACACAAACACAAGCTGTATAGAGAAGGGGGAAGATAGTCCATTGGCAGGGTCTTCGGGGGACCTTTGGAGAGTCAGTCCAGGACCTCCTGCTTGCTGTGTCCGCACTCCACCAGTGAGCGACATCCCCACCCTCCATTGCAGGATTTTGAGTGTCAGCGATTTAACTTGATTTGTAAGTATGGAAGAGCACTGTGGAACTTGCATTGTGAGTTCATCAGAGAGAATGTCCCAGCTGTTAGTTGCTACCTGAGACACCTCTTCAGCAGCCCCTTAGAAAAACCAAGTGTTTTGAGGGTTGGTGGCTCAGCTGGGTGGTTTTCAGTTGGACTGTCTTGTAGCTGCCATTGGGCGATGGCCAGGGCGGGCACCCTCTGAACAGTCCACTGGGGTGTGTATCATGGTGACTGCTCTGTCCACACATCTGATTTAGAACTCCTCCAGCATGGCCTGTCACAGCAGAGCAGCCTCTGACTGTTTCTACTGAAGACCTAAGATCTCAGGCTGAAGAAGTCAGGAAGCACATGATACCAGCCCCATTAGTGCTGGGAAAACAACTAGAAACATACATTCTCTGCTCTATTTTACTGTTTAAAATTGTCATAGGTCATCCCCACATTAAAAGGAGTAGAAACCTAGACTTCCCCTCTCAGTGGGGAAAGTGGTGAGAACCTATAGGGAAAGAGAACTTGGTGGCAGCCATCTTGGAGACAATCAACTGTAGTGCCTGGAAGGGACAGAGGAAGATTAGGTTGGATTCTGGTGCCATTTTCTTGTTGCTAGACCATGCAGACTCAGGAATCCCACTCCAGGAATTCTGACCTGGGGTAACTGAGGGGAATTTTGAATGAGCTCTGTCATGTAGCTTTGATGAAAGAAGATGTGAGTTCCATTTGTGTGAGAAATGAGGACTCAAGAGCCAGAGTTGGGGCTCAGTTGGCAGAGTGCTTACTAGCAGCATGAATCTCTGGGTCCCATCCATGCCCACCCAGCACTGCATGCACAGAACGTGAAGATCTCAAGCATCTCCGGAGGTGGAGGCAGGTGGCTCAGAAGTTCAGGATCATGTTCAGCTATATACTGAATCTGAGGCCAGCCTGGGGTACATGAGGCCCTGTCCCATCCCCTCTCTCCACCACAGGTGCGCGCGCACACACACACACACACACACACACACACACACACACACACACACACAAAGGAGGACTCAGGAGAGGGGGTTCCAGAGGAATATGGAAAATAATGCTGGCTGGGTGTGGTTGTATATGCCTTTAATCCCAGCACTTGGGAAGCAGAGTCAGGTGGATCACTGTGAGTTTAAGGCCAGCCTGGTCTACAAAGTAAGCTTCAGGACATAGAGAGACCCTGACTCAAAAAAATAAAATTAAATTAAAAAATAAAGATAAAAAGGGAGAAAGAGGGAGAGGAGAGAGAGGAGAAAATAATACGAAAGCCCCTGGAGACAGACATGCCAAGTGAGGTGTCACCAGAGAGCTAACGGGAGAACAGAGGCGAGGTCTGGAGAGGGGAAGGAAAGGAGACCCTGGGGAGAGGAAACTATGCTCATGTCACGTGACGCTTCTGCTACATCCATTTATAAATAACCTCAGCCGACCAATTGTACAGATAAGAAGGTGGAGGCCTAGAAGGTACCCAGCAGGAAGTACAGGGCTGAAACCCAACCCTCCTCCAGTTTCAGTGCCCTTCCCATGGCTCCCCAGCTGCCTGCACTGTGGCATGCCTCTCTGTCAGCCTGTGGGCTAAAGAGGTTAGGGAGAGCCTGTGCTGTCTTTAACTCATGGCCCTGTCCTGCCGCTCCTCGTGACCCAGTTCATGAAGAATTCCTAACACCCCAGTACACACAGCTTTATCTCGGGGTAGGATATAATTTCCCTGATTCAGATCGGCCTGAGCATCCCCTGGCCAAGGGTTCCACATGGGGAGGAAGCAACTAAGATGGGATACTACATAGGCTGGGAGATACAACGTCTTGGAGATTGTTATTGAGCCCCAGACTGACTGTAGTAGAAAATGGCTGCAGTTCCAGTGTAAGCTAAGCAGATGGTCCCATCACCTCTCCCCCCTTTGACTCCACTTAGCCTGGATTTCTGTCCTGGTGCACATGACACCTCCCCCAACCCCCCCTAACCCTGAGATCTCCATGGGCTCAGGCTGGCGCTTCAGGGAGGACATCCTTATGGC